CCTTCCAACCCAGACCATTCTATGATTCTAACACTGTATCTTGTAACAAAAAGGAAATGTCTGAGAGTGTTCTCCCACTGGGATAGTAGATTTTCTTCTTTTTATTCAGGTTAAAGAACTGAACCATTATTTGGAAGCTGAGAAGTCAAAAACAGACTTAGAGATGTATGTGGCTGTTCTCAACACACAAAAATCAGTCCTGCAAGAAGATGCAGAGAAGTTGCGGAAAGAACTGCATGAAGGTACCTATCTAATAATAATCCTTTTGACTCTTTTACGCTAAGGATGCAAAACCCAGCATAGTTGTTAGTTCTTTTCTGATTTCTTATTTGAATTGGATTTAAAGAAATTGTGGGGGAAGGAAGCAGTACTTTTAAATGTGAAAGCCCTTAAAATGTTTACAGAAGAGTTGAACGTGGAGTTGTTTTGTGATGGAGAAAAGCAACAGAGCCATTCATTGTCTCAAGGGATGCTGTTGAATTTCTGCTAAGTTCTTGTAGGATTGCAAGCTTCCCTCTTATTGAAGTGGTTTTATGGAGTCTTTTTATTTGTGTACAATTATGAGCATTGTTTCCATAATGTATTGATATGTCTCCCTGAGGTATGTCAATTCCCAATGCCTGGTGGTGGAACGGATGTGTAAATGTACATGCATGCCAGTACAGTGCAGAAGCATTATGGAGGAATGAGAAATGGAATCTTCTGTTGAAATAAATAGGGATGTAGAAGACAGTCTTTTGAGACCAGTACTAAAAAAAAAATAACTTCATTCATGAATTCTAATAGCTTAAGGTGTTAGCCTTCTACTTGGGAAATCTTAAGGTGTCAGTAATACATCCCTAATCACAAGCCAAGTTTGGGGATTAAGAAAATGTCTTATTTCATCCTAAATAGTTGTTGAACAAAGCCTGACTGTTCTTGATTAGAACAATAATTACATTTGTTCATGAAAATGCTTCTCTTTGGAAAAGAGGTTACAAAAATTCTGGTTCAGAATAACTCTTTCTATTCTTGAATAGTCTGCCATCTCTTAGAGCAAGAGCGACAACAGCACAACCAGCTGAAACACACATGGCAAAAAGCCAATGACCAGTTCTTGGAGTCTCAGCGTTTGCTGATGAGGGACATGCAACGTATGGAAATTGTTCTGACCTCTGAGCAGCTCCGACAAGTAGAAGAACTGAAAAAAAAGGATCAGGTTACTTGTTGCTTTCCTCTTTTCTCTTTCTTTTTTTTTTTTATTTTATAAATACTGTAGATTTAATGTGGTATAACAAGTATGGAAATCACGTGTTGGAGACAAGTTATTTAAGTGTGTTAATATTTCAAAAGATATTAACAGTTTTAATAGAAATTCTCCATTTGAGTGACAGCCGACAGTTATAACAGAAGCTCTTCATGTATGTGAATACCTACTTTTAAAGTTAATATATATATTAATATTAATGTTGCCAGCATTGTTAAATGAAAAGGTAATCATATCCAGGAGTTAATATTGGAGGAAGAAACAGTCATCTATGATGCAAAACATCTGAGTTAAGGATGTTAGGATAGCAAGTTTCACTTCCTTCTGGGTTTTTCCAGTGCAGTCCTTAGCTCAGGCATGAATTAAGAGCTTCATTTTAAATTAGCTTATGCAAGTGATTGTGTACGTGCTTTATGACTTGGTGTTCTACCATGTCTTTCTTTTGATTCTTTTTCCCTATGTTATATTGTATTGTTTAGAATGATCAAGGCACTTCTTGTTTTCACATTTTGTTCTGATGTTCATGCTTGGGTAATGGCTGTTGATGGGGCCCTTAGTGATGCAAATGTGTTACCAGGTTCTATGTAACAGCCAGTGTAACAGTTTTGTTACTTATTTGGTAAATCCCTATCATAAGAATTTTGATCTGGGTAATACGTTCCTTGAATAAAATTATTGTAGAACATGAATTGGCCACTGAACTTGAATAGTAAGTTCTCGTTTAAGGTGGTTTGGGTGCCTTGTGAAATGAGCACTAGATTTTTAACCAAAATAATCCTCATGTGATAAATACTGGGTTTTTAACCAAAATAATCTTTTCCAGTGCCACCTTTGTAGCTTAGTTCATCATGAAAGCTAATGTCATGACTACTGCAACAAAACTGAATCCCTCTTGTATGCGTTCTCTGTTTACCACTGATTTCTAGGAAGAAGATGATCAGCAAAGGCTTAGCAAGAGAAAGGAGCAGAAGCAAAAACATTCAGACGATGAAGCGAAAGCTCCGTGTTCTGTGGCCCATGAGGAAACCCCTACCCAGCTCTCTAGCGAAGAGGTAAAGCAGTCGGATAGTTCAGACCAACTTTGGGCACTCACGCATTCCTCGGGGTGCTGATTACAAACACAAATGCAAACTTAGTGCCCTTTATTCTCTGTAATTTATAATTCTTGTTAAGCCATGAAAAAATCTTTGGAGTTGCACTTGAATACATAAATTCTAATAAAGATTGGAAGACAATACTTTACAATCCTGTTAAAAACTGTAATTTACCTTTTGTGTTCTGGATGTTAACTGCGTTAAATTCTCTTGGGATTTATAACCATGTTCTAACACACCTAAATGTTTACAATCAAACCAATTATATCTGAACATTCAGCAAGTGTATTGTAGCTGCTTGGCTAATCTACTTGTTGAATTCTGTACTAAAATTAAACTGGTTAGACAAGTCTGAGATCACTAATGCTGAAGTTAGCCAGTTGCTTAGCGTGTGTAAAATAGCATGATGTGTGTGTCTGCATGTTCTAAGCTACATTCAGCTGTCCAAGTAGAGGTTTTTGGCCACATCTGTCAGCAACCAAAAACAAGCTGCTTTTTTTTTTTAGCCAAGCCAGTAGCTGGGGCTCAGCACCAAGTTTTTGTGGAAGCTGCTCAAGCTGTATTAGTAGACTCGTCGTAACAGCCAGAAAAAGTGGTGCTGCTGGATGTCCGTAGTTAGCAATCTTCTGGGCGAGGTGGGCAGTCAGACAGTGGGGCAAGCTGAGATTGCCTGAACTCTGCCTGAGCTTCTCACTTGTGAGGAAACGAATCCAATGAGCACACGGGTTGTAACTTGGAAACAATATAAAAACGGGCAATTACTTATCCTTTCCCACTACATTTTACTTGTTTATCTGATCATCCGACAGCTTCCATTTTGGTTTTGTAGGTAAAAACAGGGACAAATTACTAAAAACAAACCAGGTTTTGAGCTATGCAAGCTTATGCAAGTTTCAAGAGACTTGGGGATTTGCAGTTATCAACCAGTATTTTGCCTGTCACGTTTATCCTTTTTGAAGGGGAAAAAAATATATTCTTTTAGAGTCTGCCCTTTAGTGTTATCAATGATGTGTAATGGTTCAGAATGCAAAAAGGTGTTCACGTCTAAATGTGGCTGAGATCTAGTTTTACTCTCTATCCTACAGTAAGGATACAACTTTTTCTATTTCAAATACTGTGTTGTATAGTAGCACTTCTATATCCAGATATGAAATGAGACCTATTGATGGTGAACAAAAGTTTTGTCTTCTGATGTTTTCTTTAATCTGAGTTCCTGGGATACTCTTTAGTTCCTTAATCACAATGTTTGTTTAATTCTAGGAATTATACATGATGGAGAATTTTACATTTCGAATAAGAGCATAGTTTGCAGAGTGGTTTGGGTTTTGCTTATGGATTTATATCTTGTTGCTGGTTATGACCTTTTTTAGTTGTATGGAATGTATTTTAGAAGTGGTAATGTATTGTATTATCAGTCATGTATCTTGTCATAATTTGACTTCTGAGCTCTTCTCTGTTGAGCAGTTTGCAATACAAATGATTTGTTAACAGTATCACCAAACAGTTGTTGTCTGAAGATGCGGTTTTTTATGTCCGTATTCTCTTGAGTTTTTGTTATGAACTTATATATATACATATTAAAGTAAATATAAATATTATGCCTAAAAACGCTTAAAACGAGGCATTTACAACAGTCATAAAACCAGTAATGCATAACATATTGTTATAAGCTATAAACACCTACATGGAGACACCAGCCACCTGCTAGTCTCTGCTGGACCTATTTTGGAAATTATTTTTCTCAAGAGGCTTGTTTCCAGTGTTAATTTTCTTTACATGTCTAATGGCAAAACAAAAGTGCATAATATATTGGAAGGTATTTTGAAAGCAGTCATATGCTTTTTAAATAAAGCATTACTGCTCTCTTTTTCAGTGCTACAAATAAAAAAAAGTAGATCAAGAGACTTAATGTGCCTGATAGACATCACAGGACAGTTAGTGTGGCTTTTGGTATTAGCATTCCCCAGGATGCCTTTCTGTTTAAGCCCAGCCTTTTCCATTTTGATTTTATTTTATGTACAAATAATCTTTTCGAGGAAATATTTCCTTCTTGTACAGTATTTTGTCAGACTCGAGGCAGAAGAAAGAAATAGGAGAAGAATATTTATATGTCAGTATAGAGTAGATTTTAGGTATATCATTCTCCATTTATTTTTATGTTAATGTGAAGTGTTTTGGTTTATGAAAGACTTCTGAATTTGCTTGTGGAAGTGGAATATTTGCCTTCTGTTGTCTGACAGGAAAACAGATTCTTACAAAAGCACTCTGTTAACAGAAGGCTCTTTTTTTTTTGCTTGATGGTTTTGGTTTGTTTTTTAATTCTAGCTGGTACATTTCATTTCTCTATCCTTTTCTCTGTCATCTTAAGTTTAGTGGTCAGATGTTCTTGCCAAAGGCAACTTAAACTTGGCTTTACCATGACTGATTATTAGTGTCCAGCATTTCTCTTGTACCATGCTTCTAGAATGGAGTATGTAATTTTTTTCTTCCTTGTTTTTCAATTCCAGGTGCATGTAAATAGCACCCATGGCTCAGTCCATTCGTTGGATGCAGACTTGCTTCTTTCTTCTGGCGAATCTTTCAATAAATCGGATAATGATATGTTTAAAGATGGACTACGGAGAGCACAGTCAACAGACAGTCTGGGGACATCTGGATCTTTACAGTCCAAAGCTTTAGGATACAACAACAAAGCAAAATCTGCTGGGAACCTGGATGAGTCAGATTTTGGACCACTTGTTGGAGCAGATTCAGTGTCTGAGAACTTTGATACCGCTTCCCTTGGGTCTCTGCAAATGCCAAGTGGGTTCATGTTAACCAAAGATCAGGAAAAAGCAATCAAAGCAATGACACCAGAGCAAGAAGAGACTGCTTCACTTCTTTCCAGTGTTACACAAGGAGCAGAAAGCGCTTATGTGTCTCCTAGTGGTTACCGCCTGGTTAGCGAGACGGAGTGGAACCTGCTGCAGAAGGAGGTGAGCACCCGCTGGGCGCGTCTGCGGGGAAAAAGCTGCCGGCGCCGTGTCAGGCTCTTCCTGAGCCGCTTTACACGGAGTCAGGTGTGGAAGGAAATAGGTAGCATCATATGTAGCTACTCACTGTTCTCTCTTGAGATACTTCTGTAGGTAGAGCACATCCGATGTAAAGCCTGTTGGCTGACTCTGTGGGAAAGTCAGCTTTACTGCAGAGAGGATATTTTGGCACTTAGGGGAGGGTCTGGCAGAGGCAGATGTTGATCTTGCAAATATGTGAGGGGGTGAAAAAAGATGGGAGAGCTCAACGAAAAGGAGAAAATGGGAAGCTAAGGAAAGGATGTTATAGTGCACCTGGGGGTGACTAGGAGAGTGCAGAGATGAACAAAAGGAGCAAGGCGAACAGTGCTGTTCGATTGGGGACTGTGCGTGCAGCGCGGCTTAGAAATAGGCAGACAAGATATGCATAACACACAAAGGAAGCTTCAGAAAATTGTTGGGGGCTTGCATCATCAGAAACCAATTTCTGAGTGTGACAAGTGGCAGATGAGGCGTAACACTGTGCCGATTTCAGTGTGGGTGACCAAGGAAATTGTTGCTTCTGCTTGTTTTGGCTGTCAGTTTTGCAGCAGTTTTATATGGTGCTAGTTCAAAGCTCACATTTGGTTTATTGCTGAAAAGAGGAGTAGTGTGGGGCTCCTGTGGTTACTCTTTCAGAAGAAGAGAGGCCGAGGAGCAACATGTTAGGGGGAAGAAAAGGAGGGGAGGGAGGTAACAACCCGTGACGGTGGAAAGGAAGACAAGAATGCAGTGAAAGAGAAGAGGCCAGGCCAAGGCCAGATGAGATGAAGAACTGGTGATATTTTATTTCATCAATTTGTTGGAATTCAGCTTATCTGCAAATCATTACTTAGGAGATCTCTCCAAACCTATTGTAAAGTTTTTATTTTTTGTGTTGCTACTAATTTGTAATATCTGGAGAAACTGCAGCAGTGTGATCTCACAGCTGAGTTAAATCCTTTACTCCTGAGTATTTCCATGCCCTGTTGACTTTTGGATGACATTTTGCTCCAGCCCTTTCTTAGTATTCAGAAAAGAAATGCACTGCTTCCCACATGTTTCTGGAGGCAGGAGTACAGGCAGGGGACGTGAATGCCACTCTGTGTGGGTGGGACGTGGAGCAGCAAATATAAATATGATTTCAGCTCAAACCTGACTTGCTACTGGAGCTTTGATAAAACTTCCATTTGTCCCCTTGGCCAAAATGATTAAAATTTCAAAATGGTAGCTGGTTTACCCTTTGTTTCCCTGCTACACACCCCAACACTTCCTCCCTGCCTCGGTTTGATTTGATTTCAGTTTTGTGGGTTTTTGTTGCTTCTTGTTTTGTTTTGTTTTGTTTTTTAAAATCTGCCTGTCTTCTACTTTATTCTTTCCCAATTGTTCTTTTAGCTGATTATTCAGTCTCTGATACTAAGCTATACTGGAGGAGGGTATTAAAAAGTAAATAAAACTTGATCACTGTTGTAGAACAAAATTAGTATGTGCTATTGAAAAATATTCAGAGCTCAGTTACAGGAGGAGAAAGATGTAAGGACGTCTTGACCTGATGAACTGACTTGCTTTTTAATTGGTTTGTGTTGATTTAAAAAAAAACACACCCAAACACACACACACCCAACCCTAAACCAAAAAAACCAAATGCTGTAGTATTGTGTTTATAATTTGATTTGTAATATAAAATAACTGCATGGAAAAAGTGCTATGGTCTGTTGAAAGCTTTTCTCTGAGATATCTGTTTCTGTACAGGTAATTAAGGAATATATTTCAAAAGGACACACTGAATGACTTGATGAACTCTTGCATGTCGTGGCTTATTGCTTTTGTGCTAAAAGTGGGACTCGAGCCAGGAAAAGCTGATGTTCTGCCGCTGATTTACATTATCCTTTCCTTTTAGAGCAACTTAATCTTGTCATTCCATGATTCTGCCACTGTGTTTTATGAGTAATATTTTGCGTTCACGCAACACACCTGAGAGTATGTAGCACTCCTGCATTCCTTGAAGAATGTTGTGGCCTTTATGGCAGGTGATGACTCTGTGTTCTCCAGGTGCAGAATGCAGGCAACAAGCTGGGTAGACGCTGTGATATGTGCTCAAATTATGAGAAGCAGTTGCAAGGTATCCAGATTCAGGAGGCTGAGACAAGAGACCAGGTGGGATTTCTCTTCAAGTTCTAGCAAGACTTTTGCAGTTGTTCATGCTACTAAGGTTGCAACAGTGAACCATTGGCTGTTTTATTCATTGGCTTTAGTTGAACAATGTCAGCATGCTTAAAATCTGGATAACTTCTGACATTTTATTGGCATAACCTGATTTGTTACTGTTATGTGGTCATGAGCACCACATGTACCTGTTTCTTAAGGATTCACCTTGGAGAACCACTTTATCCAGTGCTACAAGACCGTGCAGTAAAGGCACTGTTCTATAAAAAGTGTTGTGCCCATGCTGAAGTCAGTATCTTTCATAATTTATGTTCTAAAATGCTTTTCATGCATTAAATTCTATTATCTTTGATACTGCAAGAATTGTTAAGAGCAAAGGGAAAATTAGAGGACCTCATCCTTGCAGCATAAAATGACTGTACAGTATCGGGGGATGTGTGTTTCCTGCCATATACTGAAGCACAATTTTCAGATGAGCCCGGAAGGCACGAGTCACGTTCTGCTTTGAAATAAGTGGTTGAAGCCTTTACATGGCGATGGTCCAGTGCAGGTTGATGTCCTGTGTTTCGTTACAGGTGTAATCCGTGACGCGGAGCATTGCAGAACAGCAGCAAAGGAACTTCTGGGTTGCATAGGCTTTTCGGGGATTTCATTTGGTGTTTTGGGGGTGCAATGGGGTGGTTTATATTTGTGTTCAGGAAATAAATGGAAAGAATGCATGGAAAAAATGGAAAATTAAATTATTTTGTGTAACAACACAGGTGAAAAAGCTGCAGGTGATGCTGAGGCAGGCTAATGACCAGCTGGAAAAGACAATGAAAGATAAACAGGAATTGGAGGATTACATGAAAAAAAGTGCTGAGGACTCTTCTGATCAGGTACAAGCATTTTGCAATCAAAATGGTAGGAATCATAAAATGTTATTCAAAAGAATGTAATAAAATGTTATTCAAAAGAATTCTTGTCTTCTGTTAGACATGGATGGACTACCTGCTGTAGAGGCAACAAAAATAAGAATTTCTAGGATTAGTTATGCTCCGCCTGAGTCTGCCAGTTTCTAGCTAAGTCTCTAATATCAATGTTATCCAATTTTAGCCCTGAAGTTTCATCTCTAATCTTGGAATCCGTTACGGAAGTGATAATTGGAATTAGTGTTTGGGCTTTGAATTGACCTGTGCATGAAATCACCTAAACATGCAAAAGTAGCCCTGTGTTCTTGGGCGCTGTCCTTGTCAGTAGAAGAGTGGTGCTGTTCGTGCTGCTTGCTGTCATCAGTTCTTGCACCCAGTTAATGGACTTGTGAAGACATACAGTTAATGAGTATCTGAGCAGGCAGTAACAGTAATTGGTCCAAAATACACTCTAGACTTCTTGGAAACAATAGCCTGCTGAAAAGATTTTTCAGTCTAGGATGTGTACATAACTTTCCTGGAACTATGGAGCCAAAGATGGTGTTTGGTAGTCATAGCTTTTAAAAAAAAAAAAGAGTCATCACCTTTGGCGTGTTGAAGATTACAATATGAGGTCGATGCTGTGTACAAAACACTGAATTTACTTCACTTGAGCTGCAAGACTTTCTCTCTTCCGTCCCACCCAGTATTTTTTCTTACTAGAGAAACAGTAGTCATTAGACAAGGTCTGTCTCAGATGACAGGAATATATTTGTGTTCTTTCTTTTGTCAGTACTAGGGTGCTCTTAAGTAATGCTTAATCTAATTGTTAAGCATGTCGTGTTGTAGAATAATTTAACTGTAAAGTTTTTGAAGATCTATGCTTTCAGAGAAAGGTACAAAAAATTACTTTAAAGAAAATGCTGAAAATGTAGGTAGTAGCTCTGCAGTTTCCCTTCAGTGTCTCTGAACTGGCTTACCTTCAAGTTTGATTAGAATTAACTGTTTATTTGTTGTTTAGAGTTTGGTAAATAGAATATAAGTATATTACTGGTATAAAAGCAGAGCATCTCTTCTTACTAACTTGAGCTGCATTGCTGCTTTACTGAGTAAGGAATTGTTTGGAATTTCAAAGTATACGTCGTAATGATAACAGGCAAGAGAACTGCAGTGGTTATTTCTTCAAAATCTGTTTCATGTGTTATATCTTTGTGGGGGTTTTCTTTTTTTTTTTTTAAAGATCTCTTTACTTATGGCTAAATGTCAAAAGTCGGAGAACTTCCTCGGCGAACTGCAGCAGTCGTTTTTGCAAGCAAAGAGGAATGTCCAGGAGCAAATGGTAAGACAGCTTAAGCCCAGAGCTCACTTGAACAGCACTGTTTGCCTGACCTTTGGAGCTCGGTGTGTTTGTCAGGGGCTTTGTCCTGCTGCCCAGCCCAGCTTGGCTGGAGAGAGCTGTGCACGTAACATGGAATGTTACTGACCAAGTAAGCTCTGATAGCAAGTGCTGGACCCCTAACAGTTTGTAAGGTCAGTCTGTCGTATTTTCTGTGTGTATGCATATTGATCAATATGGAGATCACTAGTCAACTGCTTTTTTCCCCCTTATTCATTGTGTGCGTTCCATGGCCATGTAGTGTCTTATTTCATCTCAGATCTGAAGACAGAATAGACTTTCTCAAGACAATTTTTTAGGACTCGTCACAAGTATCATCACTAGTGAGTATTTTCTCAAGTTTCAGAGATGAACACTCAGTGTTTTTACAGGTCAGACTTAAAATACCAGCCCTAACACCCAGGAAGAGATATGTAAGGGAACTTACTTTTTTAAAGCTATTTTGAGCGTCTTGTAGGAATTAAGCCAGAGAAAAGGACTATGACCTCATTTTCTAGGGCAGAACAAAGTCTAACTTCCTTAGAGCAATTCATTCTGTTCTGTATTAGAATCAAGTTTCTTCTTTTTTCCTCCCTTGCCCAGCACTGTGAGGACTAAGAGCATTCTCTCTCGTGAATCCCAGTATTGCGTTTCTAGGGCCTGGGATTGTCCGTAGGACATCAGGACATTGCTTGCACGGATGTTTTGCTTGATGTTCTGCATGAGAGCATGCCTAATGGAGATGCAGGAGATTCAGAAAATGTGTTGATCTGAATATGCTTTTCATGTTGTCTGCCTGTAATACAAAGGGCAACCTCTGTCAGAGTTCAAGTCCCTGTTTCCCTATACTGAAGCAATCATTCCTCTCAGAAAAGTTCACCGGATTTTTTTCTTTTGTAATTCAAGCAAACTTTGTTTTCTTAATCCTTTTTCTTCACAAGGAATCAGCTGGTTTTATGTTTTCCTCAAAGGACAGTGGGAGGCAGATGCCTAGCATTGAAAGTTTGATTGAACGTTTAAAGTTTTGAATAACCTGGTCTTACAGCTGAGTTGTTGGGTGATTTTAGTAAACATCGCTGCCAGATCTCGAAATAGGTGTGATTTCCACCACCCCCCTCCATCCATACAGCTAGCTATTGGAGAAATACGGAAGAAAACTGAGAGACGTAACAATGCTGTATGTATCACTTGCTTCCTCCTAGCTGCCTGTGTAGTTAAGCTTGATCTTGCCTTTATTTCTGGTGCATAGGCCAGGCAAGATCATGTTGATCCACACAAACATTTGTTTCCCTTCTTTACAAAGAATATCAATGCACCAGGGCTCTGAAAGCAATGATAGCAAATGGGACGTGAGGAGATCTGAGCATGACCCTGAGTGAGAATTTATGCTTTTCTTTACATTGGAGGCTGTCCTGACACAGTCAAGGGAGCAGGTTTCAGAAGAGTTGGTGAGACTGCAAAAAGATAATGAGAGTCTTCAAGGAAAACATAGCTTGCATGTGTCTTTACAGCAAGCAGAAGACTTCATTCTACCAGAAGCAGCAGAGGTAAAAGATTTTTAAGTCATTAATAGAAATGATGCATGGGACTAGACCTCACTGGAAGGATCTTTATCAAAAAGCCGACTCAAACAGCACAATGCACGATAGTCTGGATTTTAACCCTGTGATGTACAAAATCAGCCGTCTGATCCCACTGTGCCATAAACATGCTTCAGGGTATGGACAGATAATAACAAAACGAGTTAACTGTGGCCTGACAACTGCTCTGTTGACAGTAGGGAGTGGTCTTATCCCAACTCAGCTAGGTTAAGGTGTATTTTGCAGCTGGGCACACAAGTATTCAGTCACTATGGCTCCAGTGTAGGTATTGATTCCATAAATTAGGCGTAGTCAGTCACTTGAATTTCTGCCCAGGCATTAAGACCACTAATAATCCTGAGCCTTCAATAATGATAAGCCTTGCCATCCTTTCCATTGCCACTCCCTGACTCTCAAGCAAGTCAAGCTTAAAAGATTGGAGGGGTGAAGGGCAGGGGATAGAGGTTCATAAGCCTGTGGAGACATCAGTCTTTACATGTTCTTCGTTTGCTATGGCCGAGCAAACCGTTTGTGATTTTGTTTTAGTGCCTTGCTGGATGCAGGATGGTGGGACAAACCTCAGGGTAGCATAACTTAGCCTTTGGCTTGGATGCTGATAAAGATAGCACTGTGTGGCTCTGAAGATCGTGATACAAATCTTTGCTAATCATTGATCCAGGAGCTCCGTGAGCTGATTTTAAAATATCGTGAAGACATAATTAGTGTGCGGACAGCAGCAGATCACCTTGAGGAGAAACTGAAGGCGGAGATTTTATTCTTAAAAGAACAGATTCAAGCTGAACAGTATTTGAAGGAAAATATAGAAGAAACTCTACAGCTGGAAATAGAGAATTGCAAAGAGGAAATAGGTGAGCACCTGGTAAAAGTCTCCAAATACGAATATTAGAAATTAGTAAGAGAAGTGAAGGCTTGATTTTGTGATAAGTAGACTTATCTGAATTTTAAACACCATCCATTTTTCATAGCAGATAGACCAAAGCTGTGCAGCTGAAAACAGAAGTACAGTTTTTTGTTTACTTTTGAGGTACCTTTGATGTAGCACGTACTTAATTCTCCATTAAATATTAACAGAAGTAAACAGGGTATGTCCAGTTTCTTGTGTTTTTCTTGCATTTAAGCTTTAATATTCTTGGTTTTCAGCTTCCATTTCCAGTTTAAAAGCCGAACTGGAAAGAATAAAAGTGGAAAAGGAACAGGTAAGGAGCACTTTCACTGTGGGATTTTTATTTTCGATATTTTTCTTTTTTAAACAAAGAGAATAGGATTTTTTTTTCTGCTGGTTCTATCAGTGACACTACTACTGTCTTTGCTATCAATCTCTTCATATCAGAGAAAATGAACCTTTTTTCTCATCTGCCTTTGAGGCATCAATAACACTTTAGATATATTTTTTGTATGATGTTTAGTATGCCCAGTATAGGGAGGGGAAGAGAGCTGAACTAAGGAGAGAATTCTGAAACACATGACGTTATGGTTCCTTCATCTCAACATGCTTCTGGGATGCTGGAGGGCTGGCGTTTGCGTAGATAACCTTTGCTTTCTGTAAGAAGGGACACCAGTCTATGTGTTCGCACAGATTTTCTTTCCTGAGGGCACTGACACCGTACTGGACACTCAGTCTATTACAACTCGTGGTATCGACTAAGGATGTAGATGCCCCTGTGTGGCTTCTGTGACCATTTCAAAGGGACCGCGTAAAGACACGCCTGGAACTTTGAAGGAGAGAATAGCTGTATGGATGCCAGTGTAGGACTGGGACACATTCATAGTCTGTTCCTTAAAAGATGTTTTGTCTGTTTATTGATCTGTAACCTAAATAATTGGATTAATTAATTCCTGCCTAATAGTAGGCTATCTAATAATAACCTAAATGTCAAGTTTGGCCATTTCTCTCCAGCTCCAAAAAAAAATAAATGGAGAGAAAGATGTGTTATTTAGGTCTTTTCTCTGTCCCTAGGAAAGATAACTAAGGTGTATTTCTGAAGTCCCAAGAAAGACGTTTGGGCTCTATTTCCTCTATGGAGGGACTGTGAGAAATTGAAATGTTAGGAGTTTTAGTTAATACTTTTTTTATTATTATAATATAGTTGGAAAGTTCTTCCCAGGAAAACCTGCAGCAACTGGAGAGCCTGCAGGAAACAAAAAGCGCTCTGGAGGAACAGCTGAAGAAGGAGACAGCAGCAAAGGTAGCCCTGGTGTCCGGCCGTGAAGCGTGTGTGCGTCGCTGTGCTGATGGAACTGTGGCCAGGGAACGTAGCGCTGCACAAGGCTGGAAAAGGAACTTTCGAATGTTGATAACGTTCTGGCAGTGAAGTAGTGTCCACTGGATGCAGTTGAAGTCCTCATCCCAGTCCCTCTGTGCTTGGGTTTGTAAAGCTGTGGATCTGGCGTACTGCGACCTGGAATCTCTTTTGGGTTCTTTCCAAAGTTTGGCTTCAGCGACACTTCTGCATCTAGAAAGCTTCCTGAGTGACCGAACCGTGGTTCGAACGCCTTGATTCTTGTGAATAAATGTCGTTTTGTTCTTCCTGGTGGAAGGAGCACTGCTTTGGCAGTCGGATGAATTAGTTGTGATATGATCTCTCTCTCTCTCTCTCATTTTTTTTCCTTCCTTTTTCCCCCCTCTGCACCCCCAAAGATGTTTCTGGGTAAAACTCGAGACAGTAATAGTTGTGTTCTCACCAGCAGGCTACTGCCCTTCGTTTCTGATCATGTTCCATTCAAACCCAGAAATGTGCTGTTTTTATTTTGAGGTCCTTGGACACAGTGCTGTTAAGACATGAGGCTTTTCCATGCTTTAACCCATCTAATCATGAGAACGTTTGGTGGATATCAGCCCCCGATTTTGCAGTTAGGAAAACTGTAGTGTCGAAAGAGGGATTGGTTTGATTTCTTGCCAGGACTCTGGGAATAACCAGGCTTCTTTGCTCTAGTATCGGGCTTTAATCAGTTTATGCAAGCTTCTGCTTTTTTGTTCAGTTCAAGCACAGCATAAAGAATCTCTTTCTCTTCAGGCAAACCTTGAACAGCTGGTGTTTGAAGAGAAGAATAAAGCTCAGCGGTTGCAGACTGAGTTAGATGTCAGCGAGCAAGTGCAGAGAGATTTTGTCAAGCTTTCTCAGACGCTTCAGGTAAGGGAAGTGCAATCAGTTTTTAAGGTGCTACTTTTGTTTCTTCTCCAGATCTGCGTAAAATAAGAAGTAGCAGTTGTAAATTATATGATGTAAAATATTTATGAACTATTTTAAAAGTTATGAGCACAGTAAACTGATCAGGTATTCCTAGGATAATATTAGTATTAAAGCCTATTGGGGATTTTATTCTGATTAGTTGATTCCAGTCGATTCTCAGCGGCAAAGATACACAATTATTGTACACAAAGGAACTGTAGCAAACCATAACTGATGACACATTTAGGCCCTAGCATTTCATTGTCCATCTCCTGATGTTTTTCCAGTATGTTATTTTCAAAAATTGTTATTAATTAAAACTTTTTGAGTCAAGTGTTCAGGTTAATTTGAAAAACTAAAGCAGGAGTACAGGAGCTTGTTTATTAGGCAGAGTTTGACTGGATGGGCAGTAGGGAACTGTCCTCTTGTTCTGGCTGTTTCTGGAGGAGTAGGTAGAACAAAGGAGACTATTGTTTTCCTGGCCTATTGTTTTCCTGGCTAGTGAAGTTGCTTCTTGCTTTTCATCCTCCTCCTCATTGTTCAAACAATGGTTTGTGCCATCTCCACCATACATAGTATGAGATCTGCTGTGTAACATAAGAGATTACCATCGAATGAGGATGTGATCTCCTTGTGTTCATTTCAACACAGTTCTGCTGGTCACTTTTTCAGCACCTGGTCGCTTTCAGGCTTGAAGGCCCACGTTGGGCAGGTCTCTACTTCCTTTATGATCTTTCTGTGAAAGTTTACGCTGCTTACGCACCTCCTCCAGTTCGCCAGGAGCATGGTTTCGGTGACTGGTTCTTGGGCAAAAGAAAGAGTGATGATGAAGGCTTGCTTGAACCCCGCAGAAAGTGGCTTTTGATTGTAAAAACACAGCTGCCTTATGTCTTCTTCCCCCATTCTTGGT